GCTTAAATCATTCTACTTGAAGTGTCATACCGTAGATCAAAGGCATTTCCGTTTCTCCGCAAAACTTTGCCAAGTCTTGGATGGGTTTTCTACTTAGCTCCTTACAACTCTCCATTCAACACAAGCTGATCGTCAGTTACTCTTAAAGCCACCCCCGGTCCGCCGTACCCCGGTCCGCCGCGCGCGCGTGAGGGCAAAGGCGCGGGCACCGGCACTGCAGCCTACGGCTCCACAGAGGAGGTGGCGCAGGCCATCAACATGCTGAATGGGTGGGGAATCCCAGTGCTGGGAGCGACATGGAAGATGTGCGAACAAAAGGAGGATCAGGATTTTGCAGATCCATATATATGGTTATGGTTTGTGTTCCGGATTGTGGTGTTCTACTTGTGCTATTAAGCGGAACCATTTCACACTCGTACCCTCCACTAACCCAGGTTGTGGTTTCTAGTTACAAGAGTTCTGCCGCAAGTAAGGATTGGAGAGACCCCGGTTGAGTGGTCGTTGAAGGGTGTCCTTGTTTGTGCAGGAGCCTTTAAAAAACCAGCTCCAGGACCATTTGCAGCAGTAGAGTTCAATGGCTAAGCTCCAAATGTGGGTATCTACGTCCGTGACGCCCAGGGTCGATGTCGGTGACGCTCAGGACCCCACTCGGCGGATCGCAAATCACGGTGGATGCCTGGGTGAAAGCGCCCAAGGAGCCGAGCCGAGCCGCGCGTCGCGCGACGGGACTCGGACTCGACGCAAAGGGCTGGAGTTACTGCGAAGAAGTTGGGAGATACAAGGACCCCATCAAGTTGAAGGACCCGACCATTCGACTATCTGACTATCCCAGAATCCTGTCCAGGGGTCCTATTGACGGTCACCAGTACCACTCGTGCAAAAGGGTGTTGGCCATTTTTGGAAATCCAGGAGACCCCAATGGTTCCAATGGCATGTGTCGGAATGTTTTTAAATTTTAAGTCATTGTTTCGAACCGGGTTCTGAAAGCCGGGTGTCGGTCTCCCAAGGAAAAGCCATACCCAAATAGGCAGAGTCCATTGGTTAAGCCTTGGGAAAGGTGCTCAAAAAGTCTGGCGTACTCAAACCAGGTGGTTTCAGGATGTGTTCATGGAGGTGCCTGATTTGCAATGGAGCGATTGTTGATATTTGGGTTCAACTCGGTGTGGAAGATAGACATGGAACATCATGGAACCTGAAAACCACTGGTTTGTGGAGGAAGCTAGTCTTCCAAAGGTCCATTTTCAGGTTCCATGTTAATTTTGCCGGGTGAAATTAGGCGTAATTAAGTTGTTGGAAGAACCCAGACAATTCCATGCTGGACAATCCTCATCCATAGAGAATCAGGTGCTTGGATGAAATCATCTAGGGGCGTAGTCTGGCGTAGTTGCTGCTTCTTCTGCGACCATACGCGACCATCCTTAGTTCGCTAGGTTTAGTGGGAGATTGATACAGGTGAGCTTGACCAAAAAAAGCCTCCCAAGTGCTGTCACTCGCACATTGGCTCCCTCAGTCAACACAACTGAAGGTGAAGTAGACAACTGGTCACGCTTTATCAGTTGTAGTTGTAGGATAGGTTGACGATGAGCAAACCTAGATGCGGCCAAGAAATGTCATCAACATGATGTTCAATCAGTTTCACACTGGAAAGCTTTCTGGTGGCACAGGACCTAGCCTGCTCTTAATATGCTGGATGTCCACCCGCTTGGTTCACTGGAGAGACTCCCATAGAAAAGGAGTGATCTAATTGGTACTTAGACAATCTTAGACACTGTATAGCTGTATTCTCATGCGGATCAGGTTTTCCTTATGGGTTGTGAATGGAGCTTGGGGCCCTGCCAGCTTGTCAGGAGGACGCTCCAGCTGCGTAGACAGTTTACTGAGCGAAGTGAGGGGAAGGTGACGGAGGGCTGTGCACTGAAGTCTCTTGAGAGGCGAAAGAAAGACGGCGAATGAAATGGAATGTCATTGATTCCAGCTAGCCTTTTTGTTTCGCAGCTTGGCTGGTCTCACAGCCATGCAAGATCCTTATGACATTCAAGATAAAGCCTTTATCATTATCCATTGAATTGCTTTGTAGAGGGACACCGTCAAAGGAATTGGATCCTTCTGAGGGTGTATCTTAGTGGTGGAGGTGTAACACTGGTGCGTTTTGGGTGGCCATCCATCTCTGACTTTGTCATGGCCGTCTATTGGCTCGTCGGAATGTGTGTTTCTCAACTGTCATTAGTCATTTGTGGACTCATTTGGACTCGGATTGTATCCAGCCTGCTTGATGGGTGTTTTAGCTCAATTCAATTGAACAAGTGAAACCAGGGGAGCTCAAAGCTGTGATCAAGGCAGTGCACAGCCATGGCCCAACATGGCCCTGTGAATATTATCTAGACAGATGGAGCAAAGCTCGTTCCTCAACGCGACGAGGACTCGAGCGACCAAACGTTTAAAAGCTCCGGAGTTTGAGGGTCTTCCCTCATGTGCAATGACTCGCAGGGATTTTGTGAATCGCTGAGTTGGGAACCACCATGCCACAGGTTTTGATGGACAAAACTTCACTGGGAGGCTTGGCGATGTCCTTGCCGTATGTCTGAGCGGCTGCCACAGATCAGGCCACATGGATCCACACTGTACATCAAATCCTTGACACAGAGGTTGCAGGGTCCTTCCATATCCTCAAGGCAGAGTGGAGAATTCGTCCACTCGACCATGAAAGTATTTGAAAAAAGTGGCAGCTGCAAGTGGATTAAAGCTTTCATGGAACTTGCCATCGCAACAGCCGACAAAAGTGGCCGGCCTCGCGATTCGATGTGTGAAGCACCGGTGGCCCGGATCTGTTCAGTGCTGGGTGGGGGGCAATATAAATTCACTTACTGGAAAGCCTTTGGATGAGTTACCTCCGGATTTACAGGTTCTCTTCTGACATTGGTGGTCGGAGAGTTGCCAGGCTTGTACTTGTATCATTCGGGATACCTATCAAAAAAAAATAATTCCTATCAAAAAGAAAATTGATTCCTATCAAAAAAAAACATTAATTCGTATCAAAAATAAAATTCCCCCTACTCCTTTGGTCCTGGTCTGCTGGTTCCCTGGTCGCTTGGTCCTTGGGTCCTTTTGTCCTGGTCCCTTGGTCCCCTGGTCCCTTGGTCCCTCTGGTCCCTTGGTCCTCTGGTCCCTTGGTCCTCTGGTCCCTTGGTCCTCTGGTCCCTTGGTCCTCTGGTCCTTCGTCCTGGTCTTCGGGTCCTTGGGTCCTTCGTCCTGGTCTTCGGGTCCTTGGGTCTGTACTTTCGAGGCAAGACGCGTTAAAGGTGATTTGGAAATCTGGTCATACATCCTGTGAAGCACTGTAGCAGACCTTTTATCGCCAGACGTAGCACACCTTTTTTGTGAGCCACCCTGACGGTAAAATTTAGACGAAGAAAGTGCCATTCCAAGGTAGCAAACCTTTTGTGAGCCACCTGAGGGCAACATTTTGAAGAGGAAGGAGCCATTCCAACGTTGCAGACCTTTTGTTAGCCTTGCGAGGTTGAAACTTAGAGGAAGTTGCCATTACAACGTAGCAGGCCTTTGTTTTGTGAGCAACCCGAGGGTAGAACTTGCTATTCCAACGTAGCAGACCTTTTGTGAGCCATGCGAGGGCAAAATTTACAGGAGCAGACCTGTTGTCAGCATCAACTTTAGAGGCCATTCCAACATAGCAGACCTTTTGTGAGCCATCCACAGGTCTTGTGGTTTTGTGAGCCATCGTGAAATTCAGACAGATCACGGTTGAGATGCAGAGAGATCTACATCTACAAAGATCCAGAGGCCTGGAGATCCAGACGGATCTGCAGGTGTAGAGGTCTAGAAGCCCACAGACCTAAAGATGGAGGTTTAGAGATCTTGAGTCTTGAGATCCAGGGAGGTGTTGAAATCTAAGTTCTATACTTGCAGAGGGTGTAGAAAGATGTTCAGATCCAGAGATATCAAGAGCTCTTTTCACAGGTCTTCAGATCCACAGAATTTTACAAACGCCACGCAAACTGCACTACAAGGTTCGCAATCGCTGCGCTTGCCACGAAGTCTGCGCTTATAGACAGAGGTTCACGCAATTTGCACTTTGAGGTTCACGAAGTGCTGCGCCTGCCATGAAATCTGCAGTTCCAGCGCACAAAGTGCTGCGCCTGCCACAAGCCCTGCAACTGAAGGTGCTCAAAGTGCTGCGTACAAAGTGCCGCTCCTGCCACGAAACCTGCTACAAGGAGGTGCTCAAAGTGCTGTGCCTGCCACGAAATCTGCACTTCCAATGCACAAAGTGCCGCTCCTGCCACGAAACCTGCTACTGGAGGTGCTCAAAGTGCTGCGCCTGCCACGAAATCTGCAGTTCCAGTGGACAAAGCGCCGCTCCTGCCACGAAATCTGCTACTAGAGGTGATCAAAGTGCTGCGCAGGCCACGAAATCTGCAGTTCCAGTGCACAAAGTGCTGCTCTTGCCACGAAATCTGCCACTGGAGATGCTCAAAGTGCTGCGCGGGCCACGAAATCTGCACATCCAGATTCACATCGCGCAGCGCTGCCAAGGCGGTTTGCAGTGGCAGGCGCAGCTCTTTGTGAGAGATATTTTGTTTTTGATACAAATTAACTTCCTTTTTGATAGGATATAGAAATTTTATTTTTGATATACATTAACTTTTTTTTTTGATAGCCCGGCCGCGTATCATTCTCAGACTTTACCAATGACGAAGCCAAATGGGTCGAGCCAAACTTTGCAGCTTTTGGTGTGTGTCTCAACTCGCCTTAGGTCTTTCGGTCTTTTTCTGCACTTGTTTGTATATGAGCTTTCTATTTCACCACTCCCTTTTTAGGACCGCCAATCCGCAGACCCGCCTCTCACAACGTTTGAAACGGCCGCACCTGCGCATTCATTGGCTCGTTTCCTGACCATGAGGTGGCTCGTGAATGACCGTTTTGCATGTCATGCCAGTGCCAGCCACGGCAGGTAGAGCAGGCAGAGCAGGTCATTGCCTCACTTCACATCGGACGGCTGTGGTCTTTTCTCGTGGTAAGCCATTGAGTCAGAAGCCTTCAGCCATGTCCTTGAGCGGAACTGTGACCTCCTACAACCCCCACAAGGCGTGGGCTGTTGGGGTTCGGACACATGGGTCGAAATGAGAAAACCACCTGAAATAGAATAAACAAAAGTGAAAGCAGACCTGAAAGCCACTGGTTTGTGGGGAAGTAGCCAACCGTCTTCAAAGTCCATTGCATTTTGGATTCCATGATATGTTCTATGTTGGTTCTTGCAAGTGCAGCAACTGGAACAATCCAAAGCAGAACGAACTGGTCTGTTGAATTGAAAAGGTTTTGCAATATTTTGCATATGTTTTGTTTTTTTTTTTTTTCTGGTGAAAGGCGAAAGGGGTTTGCGTTTTGGGCCAGACATGTCCTGTGTTTGCGAACCCTTCAGGAACTGTTCAGCAAACGTATTGCCCACCCTTCATTGGACCTGCCTACTAGAGTCGCATTGAACCAGCCTACAAACCGTGTGTCCAACTGGCGGAGCATACTTCGTTGGCCCAACCGACCTCGTTTGTCGCGCGCAGCAAACCATGGGGAGAAAAGAAGTCTATGTCGATGTTTCTGATGGTAGTACATCCCCAGACCCATGTAGTTTAAGATATCCAGATGATGGGATGACGTTTCTTGACACGATCGAACCCTATCGATTACTACCGCGGCCTATCGATATGGGGCGCGGTCCTACTCTGCGATTCGGACCACATCGAAGCCCACAACCACCTTGGGTTGGCATTCGGAACGTCCACACCACCGCTCCATGCCATTTTCCGTCCGTCCGTTTGCAAGAGGGTATATTTGTCGTTCGTGGCATTGGACGGTGTCCAACCCTGCTAGCCTGGTCACAGAATGCCAGAGAAAAAGGAACTCAAGACCTCTGAAATGAGGGTAGGTATGGGTAGGTTGTTGCATAGACCGACTCTTAGACCTGGCTGACTCAAGAGCTTTTTGGTTTTGGAATCGACTTGAGGCCTCCGCCTCACTGGTGTGGATCACATGTCCATCGAAAAATGGGCCACATCGCAGTGCCAGGGCTGGGGTTTTAAGATGTTTACGTCGAGTGGATGTTGAAACCCCTTCCTTCCGGTGGCGAAGGTTGCGTCATCCGGGGGGGAAGATTGGACAAAACCCCAGTCAACATGAAGTGGAAAAGGTGTTTTTTCACCTGTAGTTTCCCAGAAAGAAACTGAGGGAGTTCACCTGAAAGACATTCTTGGATTTCAACTGAGCTCGAGCCTGCGTTTCAGATCGGGCTGAAACGCACACGCGCGCGTTGAAGCCTTGGCAAAATCCTCCCACCTTGCTGTTCAGAGTTCTGCGAAGGGCACACTGGCACACGCAGTGGACAGGTAGCTGATTTGGCGTTTCTTTTGGGTCAAATTTTTGTTGGGTTGCTGACAAAAAAGCACATTCAAGCATCTTCCCAGCCACGCTGCCAGGGCTGGGGATTTATTGAGTGCAATGGCAAGGACGTCTTCTTGAACAGGCAGCGCGCGCCATTTTTGGCGCGCTTTCCGTGTGGTTTCCGTGCTTGCGCACCACCGTGGCGGTTTCGGAACTGGAGCACTTTCATCAGTTTCTATTCACCAGGACCATCCTGTCTGGGTGTCCTGCTGGACTACCCTAGACTACTTAGAGATGTCGTCCAGCCAGGACACCCACACAGGATGATCCAGGCAGAATTCCCTCTTGTTGTCCCTTGAGCCGCACATAGCCGTACCAAATCATTCAAAAACCGAACTTAACAATGGAGCGACACCCATCCTGGGGGTGTCGGAGGGCTTGTAGCGAATCTTCCCACCATCGCTTCACCGTACCGCTTTGCAAAACGCGAGGGTTCAACCACTCCGCAGCTAATGACTTCATCTCTCAATCATTCCAACAAAAGCCCAATTGGCTGCTGGAGCCGGTCAAAAGCTGAGCCAAACAACACTCCAAAGCCAATATATTGAAGCATTCCCATGCAGAGGGTGCTTGATGCTGGCTGGTGTGTCTACAGAAGGCCGCTGAATCCAAGCTTTGTTTCCAGGATTTTTTCAGGCATCCCTCCCGTAGTTAGAGCATCCAGGGAGCAGGAACCTCCTTCTTCCAAAAGAAAAGGGGGTCGACCGCAAAAAGGACACTTCCAATCACCGCTGGGATGCTTCCGGCTGGCACTTCTTCCGCAAGAAGACGGTTTTTCAGGCGCCAGTGCGGGGGCTACTGCTTGTCCAAGGGCATGAAAGTCTCCTTCAACGTGACCCAGGGGGAGAAGGCGACGTGTGGCACGCACCAAGCAGCGATCGAGCGTGGGTGTTTTGCTACAGTCAGTCCGGACAATTATGTCACTTAGCCAAAGCCTAAAATCCAAGGCAAGCAGCCGAGTTTGTTAATACTTCATAATACCGATAATACTTCTATAAAGCACTTGAAGTTGATGCGAAGATTCTAACTCTCCGTTACCCAGGTGACTTCTCGAAAATGATGTCTCCATTGCTTAGACCAACTTAAACGAAAAACACCGGTTTAGACATCGTGCCCATCAGGTTTAATATTATGCAGCGATCCTTCGGGTGACGAATCGCGGCCCGACGGCTGCTTATTGGTTTGCGTGCTGGAAGTGAATGAGTCGGCAGAAAAAACAGTCGAATGTGGTCACTGGACTCATGCACATCAATGTGTTTGCCGTCATCCTCTTGAGACACGAGACAATCCCTTTTCATTGAGCCAAATGATCAAAAGATATCAAAAGTCAGTTCATGGACATCAGTTTGTCCATTCTTGCATGCATAACAAAACACTGACCGTCATATGACTTCATCTATTTTTATATCACCTTCCGCTTTTTGTTGCTCTCGTACCTGACCGTGCCCCCAAACGAACCGGCGCCGTCCATTGACGCGGTCTAACGCCGGTCACGCCAGGGGCAGCAAGCCACAGAGGTCAAGGTTCTGGTGCCCCCCGAGGAGGCCATGTACCACGGCCGCTCGGCGTGGTGCACAGATGGGAGGGCAAATCAGAAATAAGCTAGCCAGTTTTGTGAGATGTTGAGAGAGAATTTTTGTGAGGTCATCTTCACATATCTGATATCTTTATCTTGGATCATTGTGAATTTCCATGTGCATCCAAGCCATCCTACACAAGCGACCGGTGCTGGTTAAAGTTTTTGGTCTTCTTAGGATGCGTCACTGGTGGGATATAGGCTAGGTCACTAAAGTCATGTGTCCACTCTTTGGTCGTAGTAGGAGAAAGATATGGAGATGTGGCGGTGCAAACACATGTCACGGTCAAATACCTAGAACCCATAGGAGGCGAATGGCCATGTTCTGTACACTGTTGAGGATGCTTACCGGCCCATGGCCATCCATGGCCATCAAACGACCTGAGTTTTCTACCCCAATTGTTAATGAGGTCGAGTCAATTGTCACACACAGGTTCAGAGGTTACTATGTACCCAGAAATGTTGCTGTAACATGTTGCAACAGTGCTTCCAATCCGACCTGTGTTTTGACATGTAATTTCCCATATGATTACCGTTTTCTGCACTGGAACCCATCACTTATCCATGTGGTTTTCCACCCATCCATGCGGTTTTCCATTGTACCTTTCTACTCCTGCATCCCCTCCCTGCTTCACTTGAAGGTAGGACCTGACTGGCTTCACTGACGATGTTTTCTGTGTTCTTTTTTGAAGGGTGTTTTGACATGCAAACAACCCTGGCAACATTGACTTGTGGTAAGTTTTAGTTTTTGTATATTATATATATATATATTATATTATAGATATACTTGGGCATACTTCAAGAGGAAGACAGTTTGTTCTTCTTACCGGGTCTTATTACATCTATGTGAATCAGCCGCGGTCGAATGAAGAAGTCCATTTTGCGTGGCCAGTGTGCGACGGTCAAGTATCATCCTCTTAAAATAAAAAACATAGCGATTAAGCAGCTTGGGAGGGAGGAAATTTGACTGTGTGAGGTGACATAAGCATCTTGCAGGATTCTACGAGGAAAGGGTTGCCAACTTGGAACCTACAAGAAGAAACACTTGGACTTGTGTCCTAGCGGTGTATGTGTGTCATGGTTCTTTTGTTTGAAAGACCCTTGTAGGTCCCCGGAGAGGTATGTGCGTGGGTCTACAGTATAACTAGGTCTAACCAGCAACAGCCACATTATGACCACCTGGTGACTCAAAACCTTTGTTTTCATCATGGTTTTCATCACTATCCGCTGCAACCATAGTGACCGGAGAAAACATATTTATCTGGCAAGAGACCCCACACTCGTGGTGTTGAAACATCCAGAACGGTCGTGGATGTGGTTGAACAATTCAAAACACGAATCACAGGGAAGACCCAAACCGCCAGTTCTTCACTCTCCGCCGGTGGAACCCACCTGCTTCGTGGCAGCACGGCACGGTCCCAGGTGAGATCAAGTCCTTCAACCCCACCAAGGGCTACGGCTTCATCGGCTGCGAGGCATGGGGGTTTACTGAGCAAGGATTAAGAAGACTCCAGGGGACCTGCAGGTGGTTTTAAAGTCCCAGTCTTTGTTGACCTGGCAGTTTTGAGGCGCGGCTGCTGTAGTTTCGAAGCATGGCCACTGCAGTACTTTAACGGACGAGCACTCGCTTGTGCACTGGAAATTATACTGCAAGTGAGTGCTTGGCCTACTTTAACAGGTTTAGAGTTAAGTAAAAAGACTGTGGCCAACAGAAAAGTGATTTTGCTTGGCAAATGACTTAGTGGACATGTGACGCGTCCATATGTTCTTCTTGTTTGACCTCCGGTGCCTGGTCCCTCCGCAGCGACGCTCCGCGGCATATCGTCGCCAGGCGTTCCCCGGTCAAGACGTCTTTGTGCTCAAGTCCGAGTTGCCCGGGGGCTTCGCACCACAAGGAGGCGCGCTGTTTCGCGGAGAAGAACGAGGATGGAGAAGCAGTTGGCCGTGCTCAAGTGGGTCAAAAGATGGACGTGCTCCGTAAGCTGCTCCTTCAAGCGGAGTACGCACTGGGGTGGGTTACATGGATTCTTCAAATCTATGGTTTCTGCATTTGGAGCATTTGGAGTGCTAGCTGTTTCATTCATGGACATGTCAAAGCCTGCCCGTTCAAGTCTTCAAAGAAGCTTAATTTAATACACAGTAAATGTTATATTTTTCGGGTTTGTGGGTTTGTCCTATTGCCTATTGCCATTAGTAAACAATTATCACAATTTTAGAGAAAGGATGAGACATTATCATCCACTGGGCCCTGGTAATAGGATATCGGATATGCATTTTGTATTTGTTTGACATAAGTTCAGAAGCTTCCTAGTAAGTAGACGCTTCCTTCGGAATCGTTTCACCTGTAGTAACAATAGAGCTTTCTAGTATGTCTTTGAAGCTACTGGTAGCAAGGACGATCAAGGACGCTACTAGGAACGGTCTGTGAAGCTTTCACAAAAAGTTCAACTCTGATGACCCGCTGGGATTCGGGGATGTGCTGGTATCCTCATCGGACAGCGGCGCGGAGGTAGAAAAGACATTGGACCCTTCTTTAAAGACCGTCTTGCCAGAACGCATTAGGTCAATCGACTGTGTGACAAAGACTTCACACGGTTGGGCATGTGTAAGGAGGATGGATGTCTCCCCAAAGAAGCGTGTCCCGGATTCTTCCGAGAAGGGCCGAACGGAGCTTTTTCATCCATCCACTTCGTCGCCTTCTAACTGGGCCCGCGGAGCCACCAAAAGAACGAAGGTTACGTTACAGGCTTACAGACTTATATAATCTGATAAATATATGACCTGAGGCTGCCTGCCCAATCTATTGCAATCCCTGGGCCATGTATCCCTTAGAAAGGGCCCCTAAGGGGTTCACTTCTTTAGCGAACCTGCATCTCCCTGCGGCAGGTCACTGCAAGTTCAAGGTGAAGACCGACAGCGAGAAAGGCGGACGGTCACCGGAGGGGACGATCGGTGCGGTGTTCGGCACGGTGGCAAGGTGGATGTTCGTGGTGTGGTTGGTGTTGGATGGTGGCCATACTTATGGGAAAGGCTTTTGGTGTATTTTGATGCACTTTGGCTTAGGCACGCCATCCTTGTACGGAATGGTTGTTGCTGAGATGCGCCAAGGGTGCAAATCGCTTGTCAAAATGTTCATCGCCTACTGAGCATGGTGAGAATTTGGTGCTCACGGCTGGCGGAACTCTGGATAGTCTCGGGGAAAGAAACACATGTGCCACATGAATATGGTAACCGCTGGTGAATATTGTAACCGCTGGTTCCTGTATTTTGGCTTCAGTGCTATGTGCTGCTTGATAAAACTAATCATGCCTGCCTATTTGTCCGGCTGTGGTGCGTTGCGCTTAAGGTTCCAAAATTGCAGAGTGCCACCGACCAGTGTTGAGGTCGTCACAATAATCCAGTTGTGAAAGGTCTAACGGCTGGAATCTAGAAGCGACGGAATTTCCCTGGAGCTTGTAATCTTTTGTTTTTGTATTTTGGCAACTCACGCCTAAGTCCCTCCGGCCCAGACGACATACGCCCTGCCCAGTCAACCGAGTCGGCCGCTCGATCTTGCGACGTTTTGGAGACGGACACCGCACCACGAACGGCAGTTCACATCAGGCCCCGCGGCCACAGATGTGCAGCTGTTGGGTTTGGCCGGCAATCAGCCGGGAAGCCTGGCCGCGGTCCATGGGAAGCCTACGGAAGGAAGGAAAGCACGGTCCTTTTGGCAGTTTTAGAATCACTTCATATCACTTTGTTATACTTTGTTTATCTCGTGCAAGTCCCACTGCACTGATCTTTAGAGACATTTTGTTCGATCAGCGCTTCAATCTAAGGGACTAATTATTGGTCTTTGAGAGGTCCTGAAGTAGAGAGCGACAGAGTTTGCTTCGGAGTTTGTTCACAAGATAACACAAACAAAAATGATATAATTAATGTATTGTAATATGTTTAATGAATGCAGACGTATGTACACATACACAATATATGTTCCATGGCATGGAGCTCGGAGCTACCAGTCGCGTGACTTCAGCATGTCCTGAAAGCAACATTGCCATGTCCTGAAAGCTGGACGAAAGCCATGGGAATTCAAAAGCAACCTTCCCGGGATGACTCTGAACGGCCGTGTGGAAGGGACCTCGCCGCGCCACCAAGGTATCAACAGATGAAGCAGATGGCCTTCTACGCCGGCTTCAAGGGTTTTGGTGGCTTCAAGGGTAAGGCGGATGCTTTTGGGGAAACCAACGTTATTGACATGTAGTGTGAGAGGTGCTGCTGGTCTTGCGAGGACTGGTGGGAGGTCCACAAGACGACAAGAATGAGGAAATTTAAGAAAGTCCGCTGAGGGAGGCTCCAAAGAAGGAGAATCCCTAGCTTTGGAGTGTTTGCAGGGAAACTCACCAATTGGGGATACCCACTGTGGAAGTGAACTGCAGCTGCTCAGCAGCTGAAGCAATGAGCTGATGGATCAACAGCTATAGCGTATACAGGATTGCACAGAGCATCACAGGATATCACAGGGCTGTTTCTTGCAGACGATGAAGATGAAGATCCCTGGAACAAGTAGAACTAGTTTCACGCTGGACTATTCTTATATGCTGTCGGTGAAAGGGTGTGTATTGAAACAGGGAGGCCCCCCGAAGACCCCTGGCAAGAGCAAAAAAAGACTAACACCGAACACCACATTGGTGTGGGGGGTATGCCATTTGCTCTTGTAAACACAGGTCGGAGCACTTTGCAAACATTTAAACCGCTTTGCCTGCTTTGCCTGCTTTGAGGCCCACCCAGCAATGTCCTTGTCTTCGCATCAAAACCCTGCCACCACGTGAACCGTTTGATCGACTCCTAACCCCCGCCACTGCGGGGTCCCGTCGGTCGAGAGACTGAGACGACACAGAATCAGCGCCACCAAGTCTCAAGAGTATGTAACGCCTAGGAGTCAAAGACCATAAAAAGAATGGTCTTTAGGTGACCCGAAAAGGAAATTCCTTTACTTCAGTCGTTCAAATTATAGCCTGGTGCCCGTTTTCACCGGGTTTCCTGTGGACCAAACGTCTCGCGCGGTCACGTCACGAAACCGTGTCGACTCCGTGTGGGACCCGCCGAGAGGTCCTCGGCCGTCGCGGCACCCGTTTTTCGGGCAGGGCTTCGGCAAGGGCAAGGGACCTCGCGTCGATCCTTCTTTGAAGGCGCGCGAAAGCGCTCGGTGGCCATGTCTATTAACTCAAAATAAGATCGTTTGTTTGCGCATGGATGTGGTGAGGATTGGGTGGAAAAAGGGGCGAGGACTGGCCAGAGAGAGTGAAATGCCCCCCTTTGACTCTTCAAGGGACATGAAGGAGCAGTATAAAGGGATACAGTATATGTATTTTTCTTTGCCAACTCAATTGTGTACTAGAAAGATTCGAGCAACTGCCAAAACCTCCGATGAAGGCAGCATGACTACAGTAAAGACTAAGTAACTATAATATATATGAGGCAAACGTTAAGGAACGATAAGGTTCACAAGAAAACAACAAATAAGGTTTCAGTATGCATGTTTACATGTTGTTAGGTGTGTCCAAACCCTCAGTAACGATAAGGTTCACAAAAAACAAACGTTAACGTTGGGAAGAGTGCGCCCTACACCACGCAAGATTCTTATCGCTGGTGAACTCGGTGAAGGGTCGTTTTTTTTGGTGATTTGAGGGAAAAAACCATGGCCCAAACCCGATGGAAGGCAGAGTTTCTCATGGCAGAAACCTTGCCCATCCAACCCCGTGGACAAAAAAAAAACGCGATCGCCGCGCAATCTATCTCATGTTCTTCATAGGACATTTCATCGTCTTCCTGCATTCGCTTCTAGAAATTCGATGGGCCCCAGGTGGTTAGGAACCCATGGGATCACCTGTCATCGTTTCCTTCGGTCGAAGCGAGTCTAGGCGTTGTGGCTTTGTTCGTTCGTCACGTTTCGGTGCGAAGCTTCGGTGGAGTCCAGTGCCTGGATCCACTGGCACGGCCAGGTGTGGATCGGCGGCCTTGCGCCTGGAACTGAGGATCATGGGTGAAACCGGGTTCACCGGCGGGTAGTGTTTCAAGCAACCACCGGTGGCTGGCGGGACTCCGGCGCCATGCTGGAGGCATGGTTTGTCTCTCACTGTTGTTTGTCTTTCTGTTTGATGTCTTTTTGGTGTTCTGTTCTTTGTGTTTTTCGCCCAGAAACAGCGAAACAGCTTTGCACCTTTGAAGCTCAGATGCAAGAGGCATGACCTGTTTGGTGTTCAGTGTTCAGCTTGGAACTTGGAACTGTCTTGAGTCTTAAATAAGAATTATTCTATTCATTTCTATTCTATTCCAAATTCCAAACAAAGACACCCCACTTCGGAAATGATTGGAATGCTTCACTGTGACTTGAAACAGTATGCCGCGGCCGTCTCCTGATTGAGGCCTGGAACCAGCTGGAAAGTGCGGCGCCCAGTAAGGCCGCAAGCAGTGGTGTCCCATGCTGAATGTTCATTTAAGACCCCGCCACGAAGCCGATGGTCCGAGGGTCACGAGCCTTTTATGTATACAGTATACTGTTATTATCCTTTGCCGAATATCCTCTACAGAATCTCAAGGTACACCGATAATTCCGGATTCCACAGGGGATCCTTTATTGCAATCATTCGTGAACATTAGTGACAGAGTGACAACAGTGACAGAGTGATCCGTCACTAGTGGTTTGTCACTGTGAAAACTGAAGGATCACTAGTGACTCGTTTGACAGCAATGCTGGAATTGGCAAGTTTGATTTATGAGTTTCGACCGGCTGATTCTGATTCCACGAGAAGGGGGGCAAAGGCTTCACGGTGTGTTTTTAGAGTTCTCAGCACTGGAAAGAGGTTGCAAAATCCATCGATTGGTTTCTTGGAGAGAACATAAATCACACTTTCTGGAACTAACATTGAAGTGGAAGGCGGTTCCTTGGAAGACCTGAAATCCTCTACAAACAGGGTTTTTTCCACTTCGCTGCCCTTATAGTTTTCTCAATGTGCACAAAGCTATTTGGTTGACCACGTATTTTTTTGTTGTTGTTGCATGTAAAAGGGTGTGACCTTTGGCCTGGTTGTATACTATGTCCCAGACACTCCGGGAATTGGCATATTTACCTACATTGGGGTGGTTGACCTGGGGTGAATGTGGGTATATATACAAGTCCCATGGTTCGTGTCTGGGTGTTGACTCCTTTTTGTTTGTATTCATGTGGCTGTGGACCCATTTTCATACCGTACCAGTCCAGTTTTAGTTCTGACTCCACAACCAGTGTTTAGTTCTGACCCACCTGAACCACCCGCATGACCGGCCATGGTGTTCGATCGGTTTTAATCCGAATACGCTGAGGATCTGCAGGAGATCGGAAAGCGAGCGACACGGAAAAACACGGGAAGACAAACAAAGCTTTATTGGTTCTCCTGGAAGTCTGGTGGTCAAGCCCGTGATCACCGTTCTCCTGGGAGGGGTGTGGTGTGTTCTGCCCGGCATGCTGCAGGCTGAGTCAGGCTGGGCTTTGCTGAGGTTTGTTGGCCAATGAAGGCCCGAAGGCCCCAAATCTCTCTCTTACCCTTGCAGTGAAAGGAGTTCAAGACTGGCACACGCCTGACGATATTTAATGGAATTTCCTGGTATGGCTTGGAATTCTGAATCATCTCTCTCTCTCTCTCTCTTTGTCTCTCTCGCGGAAGGCAAGGACTGTTCTACTGATGTTTTCTGTGCTCTTTGTTTTTTGACTTCGGAGCTCCAAAAAAAAACCTCCCCCATGCTGTTTTGTGATTTGACCGTAAGTTGTGCTATTAAAGATCCCATGGAGCTCCAAATTACTCCCTATATCCTATGCTGTTTTGTGATTTGACCGTTGTGCTTCAAAAGATTCCATTCTGCTCAATCCTGACCCTCCACTCCAACAGGAGCACATGAACCAGGCTGGTAAGACCAAGTGGGTGGACGTGTTCGAGGCGACTCCGGACGTCGCGACGCCTCGTGACGGTTCACAGGTGATTGTCCGCAGATTTGGACCTTGTAGCCGCCATTGTTGGCTGCATCTTGACATGAAAGTCTTTCGTGTTGCCACGTCTACGACTCTTTTTCAGGGGCTACTGAAGATGTCTTGGCGGGAGAAACATACAGTTCGTCCTTCCAACGGCCTCTGCGAGGGCAAGGGCGCTGGCACGGGGACGGCTGCCTACAACACCCCCGAGGAGGTCGCTGCAGCGATTGCCACGCTGAACGGGCAGGGTCCTCGGAGGGGGAGCTCAGTTGGCTGGATCAATCGAGGTTGGTGGAACGATATGCTACCCGGTCCCCAAACAAGAAGTGAGTTTGTGTTTTGGGGTCCTGGTGGATGTTTGAGTGTTAGGAAACAATTTGCAAACATGATGAAAGAAAGATCAGTTGTGTCCAGTTGGCGGCAGTTGTGCTCAAATCGGTAGCTTATCATAATGTACCCAAAAAAAATCACACACTTATACATTGCTGACTTGTCTAGCTTTGGGCCCTGGTAACCCTGATCAGTTTGCTTACAAGTGTTTCCTGTTGTTGTTTTTTGTCATGGACAGTATTTAAAACAAGCAAACATAACACTCACATAAACACAATGACAAATATATATATATATATTTAAGAAAAAAAACACACATATAATACAATAATCATATATAAGTAGTCATAAGATAATATGCAGTATTGTAACTTGGTGTGATACAAAACGCTTTTGTTTTACTACCCCTTTGTTTCAGGGTGCTGGATTATTTCAGTGTGATATTCAGGAGTTTCAGCTCAAAACATTAAACAGTTAATCGAGAAAAGTCAAGTCAAATCATCTCAACTATATGGGAATACTAAATTTACATGATGGCTCCCGGCCAGATTGTCCCCATATTTTCCAAAATATATCATATCGGAAGATGCAGCATCAATTGACAAGTGTGGAATATCTGGGAAACACAAGGACGCTCAGTGTACACATACGTTTTTGTTTCCGTTCTGATTTCTGAAGCATGTGTTTGAATATTGTCAGTTGAGTCGAGGTTGACAGTGGAAGGACATTTGTGCTGCTCAGTTGGCTTCAGTTGTGCTCAAATCAGTAACTTATCATAATGCACCCCAAAAAATCACACACACACACACATATATATATATATATATTGCTGATTCCTCTAGCTTTGGGCCCTGGTAACCCTGATCAGTTTTTTTTTGCAAGTGTTCCTGCCTTTTGTCATGCGCAATACTAAAAGCAATAAAACATGAAAAGTCATTTAAAAATAACAAAAACACACACGTAAGCAAAGGTAAATTGAAAGAAAACACATACATTAATACACATGTATAAGAGTCATAAGAGAATATGCAGTATTTGTAACTTGGCGTGATACAAAGCGCTTCTGTTTGAATACCCCTTTGTTTCAGGGTGCTGGATTATTTCAGTGTGATATTCAGGAGTTTCACAAATTGTGGTGGATCAGTGGATGACCATGTCCTCGGAACCAGGAAACAGCAGTGTATGGAGCAGCAACCCCGGAGTAACATGTTGGGTCACCCAGCAGTCTGTGCAGTCTTGTGGTTATTTGTGTGTGACCATTTATAGCCACTCATCAGTGGTGGAACGATCCAAAGAACTTGCATTCGCTGAAACTAGCGACATCCATGATTCGTTTGTTTCAAAAGATGTCTTTATTGTTGACTAGGATAGCACTCCTTTGTTCCCCCAAATCAGATCAGCTGAGTTCACTTTTCCAGGAATTCCCAGGCATCTAAGGCATCTTAGGCATTGTGCAGACTCAGAAGTAATTTCGGCCAACATGAAGGGCTCAAAAAACCTTCACCAGGTCGACTTCTGACCAAGTGATCCACGTGTTTCCTATCACCAGGTGTTTCGTATAGTCGGGCCTGGTGGGATCTAGTCGACCCATCCACGCCCAAAAGCAATCCCAAGGACGACGAGACGGCAAAAAAACAAGGAAAAAACACAGAAACTCGGAGACACCGCACGTCTCAGTCACTCGGTCGACCGAGTGAGTGAATGAATGAGTGAAACGTAGCGCGTGCTCTCAGGACGACCTTCGGCAGCTCACAGATCACCGTCGATGCCTGGGTCAAGACGCCAAAGGAGCGAATGAGTCGCAATGCGAAGTTTCAGACCTTTCTTTTTCTGAGAAAAGCATCAACGATGACGGTTTTGTTTGGAGGATGGATTGCCATGTGCACGGTGTGTGTGTGTGTGTACCCCTTGTAGTCACAGGGATTCTTTGGAATTGTTTTATTCAGCAGGGGGACAAAGCTAGGCAGCAAGATGGGATACTGGAGTTGGCCACTCCAGCGTACCTGCATTTTTCCGAATGGCATGAGGCTAAGCCCAGAACCTCACTCGCTGCAGACATGAGCGACCGCCGTCATCTCGACCCGTTCGTCGTCTCGTGACGTTTGACCTTTGGCCTTTAACTAAAGGTGCACAGACCCCTTCACCTGGTTTTTCTGGATTTGGATTTCTTAGGCTGGCGTGTGGCACCGCTATCAGTTCCGTATGCATATCCATAAGATTCCATAAGTGTGTTTGGCCTCGTGCCAACCCGGGATGAGCCCGCAGAGTGCCTCCCGTGGACCCGTCGAAGGGGGGTTTGTCGCTGTTTCCCTTGCTTTGGAAACGTAAGTGTCCGGAGCGGACAGCAGATGGCTTACGCCACAAGAAGTGGGATGTTTGTCTCATTTTTGGAATTCCAAGTTGGCTCATGCCTTTACGTGACCACAGCGGTCAGAGGTGGCAGCCCTCGGGCAAGCCGTACGTGGTCGCAGCGACCGAAGTTTGTTCAAGGTTCATTGGAACCTGTCCCAACCTCAGGTGCACACACAGCGTGTACATTGAAACGAGGCAGGTCCCCTAGGTCTTTGCAATGAGGTTTGGTCTCATCGGTTTTCGTCCCCTCCATTTGGTTCCCCTTTCAGCCCTTCCCGTTCACACACTTCTGTTTCCTCTTTTCTTTCATGTCCTCCTGTCTTCATGTCTGGTCATCTCATCCTTTTCTTCGTTTGCGTGCACATTGGTCCCGGCCTTAGTGTGTACGTGCACTTTTACATACCTTTAAACACAGGTTTCAGGTCGCCCAGGTCTTTACAATGAGGTGGGCTTCATCGGGTGTCCCTGTGCGCTTGGTTCCCCTTTCATTTCAACCACACGCACTTTTGTCCCGTCTCGTCCTCCTGTCATGTCTTCATTCTTTTGTCTTTTGCGCGCACACGTGCACATTGGCCCTCACCTTAGCTTTACACCTCCCCTCGGGGAGGCGTGTGTGTGTGCCCCTTGTAGTCACAGGGATTCTTTTGAATTGTTTTATTCAGCAGGGGGACCAGGCATCTTGCTGCTGACCTGGTCTAACAAAGCTAGGCAGCAAGATGGGATACTGGAGTTGGCCACTCCAGCGTACCTGCATTTTTCCGAATGGCATGAGGCTAAGCCCAGAACCTCACTCGCTGGACATGAGCGACCGCCGTCATCTCGACCCGTTCGTCGTCTCGTGACGTGACCTTTGGCCTTTAATTAAAGGTGCACAGACCCCTTCACCTGGTTTTTCTGGATTTGGATTTCTTAGGCTGGCGTGTGGCACCGCTATCAGTTCCGTATGCATATCCACAAGTGTGTGTGTCAACACCTGTTTCCAAGGTTCGTGCCCGGTAAGTATGCACGCAGCAGGTTTTTACTTGAAGAAAGGATGCTACCAATGGTTTCTGGCCTCGCTACTAGGAACAAGAAGCCGCTAGAACCAAGGGCATCGCTACTAATTAAGAACAAAGAGGCAGGGACAGGGATGCAGAAAAAGAAAAAGAAAAAGAAGCAGGGGGCCACCGGGGTCCCAGAGGAGCGGTGGCCAACGAAGACCTCCTCTGAGACCCAACGTACCTGCATTTGTAATAACTGTTTAAACCGCCGTTCCGTGTCTGCTAGGTATTCAGTAAAGCGGCTAATGCATAGGCGGTCTGCTAGGTATTCAGTAAAGCGGCTAATGCATAGGCGGTCTGCTAGGTATGCAGTAAAGTGGCTAATGCATAGGAGCTGCAGACTTGCACCAAACAATTGTTCAAACACCTTCAAGTCTTCTGACCTTCCACCTTTCCGTTCCCTCACCTTTTTTCGACCTGGGAATAGAGTACAGTAACAGCAAACCAATGTCAGAGTGTGAACCGCTCAGTCGTCCCACTTGGGTGCTGGGTGTGATCTCCCGCAAGGGAGCGCCGTTTCATGCTGGAGTGCCACTAACGGATTTCACCGCGTTCTGCATTCCTTGGATTCTCTTAACCGAATTTGTTTCACCTCTGGATTCCTGAAACCCAATGCCGTCGGGCCCACGACTTCTCCACCAATACTTTCATTTGAGTGATGTTGCCTTTTGCATTTTGTCGCTTTCCTTTCGCTGCCAGAGTTCAGTTTCAAGTTCAATTTCAAGACCATTTTTTGGACCAGTGAAGCTATACTGTCAGACTTCCATGACTTTCACCCATGCGGTTTTTGAGGTACATGTCGCAGGGTCACCAAGCTAGCAGCTAGGTAGCTTTTCCTGTTGCATGCGCTTGCTCATGCTCTTGGGTTCTTTCTCTCTTTCTGTTGCTTTTCGTTTCTTGAGGCCTTTCTTTAGGTTCCAGGTGCCTTTCCGACAAGGGTGCGCCGGCCCCAAATCGGCTTTACTTGAACGTCAGTGATGGCAATGCCTTCGGGCTCCCCTCCCTGCCCCTGGCCTCTGTTGCTATCCCACCCGCTATCTAGGGTTATAGAAGGAAATCGCACTCAACACACTTGTGTGTTGGTGCCTTTCCTTCTATTTCTCCTGTCCTACCCTGAGCATCATCTATTGATTAGAATCAATATATTGATTTAGAGGCTCGCAAAATCAATATCTCAGATTGATTTTGCAAATCAATAAATCAATAAATATCACTATGCTTTTTGATCATCAAAATCAATAAAAATATCAATAA